CCCCCCCCCCCCCCCCCCCTCCCCCTCTCTGACCTGTCTTTTCCCACAGGTGTGTGTCTGGAGCAGCCAATGGCGAGCCCCCCACCGCCACCATCGCCTGTCAAAGGATCACCTATACGAAGCAAGGAAACACAGAAAATGAGTAAGGCCAAGACCTATGCCGAAGGGGGCAAGAAGAAGAGTGACAGCGTCCTGAGTGGAGAGCCGAAGGCGAAGACGGCGGCCGAACGTAATGAGGAGACATGTGTGTGATGATCGGTCGGTCCATGTGCTGAGTGTGCAGGCTCTGTCCCTCCATCGGTGACGTCGGTCTCGCCGAAGACCCGCAACGGAAGTGGAGTGGCGCGCTCAACCCGAATCAGCTCACCGCCCGCGAGCAAGAGCACGCGAGTGCGGCTTCCTGTACGAGGCGGAGGGGCGGGTGTTGAGACACGAATGCCACGTGAGCCGCGGCCACCTCTTGCAGCAGGTAAAGCAAAGGCCGCCGCGGTAGCAGCCCCTGTCCAGCACATAAGCTTTGAAGCCAAGATGAAAAACAAGGAAAGACCGCCCGGTAATAGACATTGCTGTGATTGGTCAAACCTAGCAATGTCTTCTCTTTGTCATCACCATGCAGGCTTGACATGGCAGGGAGTGGTGATCGACGCCAATGCGATCGACACGCCGCCGCCCGCCATCACACCACTGGGAATCGAGGATGCTCAAGGAAAGATGGAGACGCTGCCAGACACCAACGAGCTGACTGTAGAGCTGCCCCCGCCATTGCATGTATGCAAGAAACCTCCCATGCCGGCCTATGCTGCCGATAAGTGGGTTCAGTGGACCGGCGGAAAGTAAGACAAGAAACATCGACACGAACACTCCACCTGTTGTCCATTCTGTTAACTGCATCCAGACCGAAGGACCGTGAGACATCAGCCAGAACCCAGCCCGGCGCAGACCACCGCCCTCCCACGTTCCGTGACTCCCGTGCCTTCACTAGCACAAAGCCGCCTCCTTCCGGGCTGGGCCTAAGACGTGCTCGTGGCAAGGTGCAGCTGACCATTGTTACCGATGAGAAGAAGGGAGGCAGTGTGAAACTACTGAGGAGACGCGAAAAGAAATATCGGGAGGATGGCAGCCTGAAAGAGCAGCCGCAGCAACATCCGCCACACCGTGAGAGAGTGTTGCCGCCCACACCGAATTTTGCTGGGAACAGTACTGACCAGCAGAAGGAAGAGGGCGGCTGTGATGTGTCGAGCGTGCTCTTGTTTCGACGTGTTTCGAGCCCACAGCCGTCATCGAGACAGGCAAAGGAGGTGGTGCGGTGGCAATCGGCACATCCGGCTACTGCTGCTACTGCTGCGGGGACGCCAGCAGTGCCAGTGCCAGTCCCACGCCAGCATGTCCGCCCACCCATTGCGCGACCCGACGGGGTGCAAAGCGCGCAGCCTGGTATTCGCGCGGACAGACAAGTGTGACCATTCTTGCCGCTTCTACCTTGCCGTCTTTTGTGCAGGTCGCATGGTGCCTCCCTTGTCAATGCCTGTGCCTGTGCCTGTCCGCTCTCCCAATGCGCCACGAGTGCAGCTGAGACGGTCGTTGTCGCACAGCGATGGCGGGAAGGAGGGTGTTCTTTCGATCGAGTCGGCAGTCATGGACGAGGAGACGATGCCGTCTGCCCGGAAGGTTCACGTGCTCCCGCCCCCGCACTCGCCGCTTCTTGGCTCGCGAGGCGTGCAGCCGCCTGTTATTGCGAAGCTCACACTCACCAGCCCATCGCCACCGTAAGCAACGATTCGATCCCCATATGTCTTGCGTGTGTATGTCTTGTCGATCGGCAGGTGTCGCCCTCCTCTGTCTCCCGACCCACTCCCTCCCCGCCCACCAATGATGCCTCATTACCATCACCCAATACCGAGCCCCTTCCCGCCTCACCCCTCCCGTCCACCTTTCTGGGCGCTATCGAAGGCCCCTTCTGCCTATGTCCCGCTGAGTGAGGCCACGCCTGTCACAGTGGCTGTGGCGGGCGGCGTCTCACGCCAACTGACGGGTGCCCCAGGTGAGTGAAAAAAAGTGTGTCTCTCTCCCATGATGTTTTTGGATGGCGGTTTTGACAGATGCAAACAGAGTGGTTGTGCCGAGTGTCCATCCTTCACCGAGGCAGCCGCCAGTGTTCCTTTCCCCAGACATGGCACACAGGGGCATCAACTCGCATTTGTTCGCAGCAAATCGGGGACGCACCTGTGGGAGAGACATGATGGGCGGCAGAACGGGGCTGCCTGGCTCTGCCTGAAGGGGCCAGGCAGTGTGAGGGACGCATACATGTTTAGCAGAGAGGATGTGAGAGACCTGATACCCAAGCGTTGAATCAACAGTAGGGTTAGGGTCTAGGGTTTCCTACGTGACCAAATTGCGACGCAACTCGAGGACTGCCTCAACCTCACCGCCGTAGTGTATTGCGGTGAGCTATCATAAACACCACACGACGTACAAACACGCAAGGAGCTCATGTGCTTTTGATTCCTCGGCATCTGCGTCTGCAGCCGTCGTGCTCCTGTTTCTGCTCGTGGCGGCATAGCTTAACCAACGAGCGATATAGCACCACAGCAAACCACACCACACTCGCCAGAAGACCCGTCAGAAAACCCGTACACCACACGCCACCCGCTGCTGTGCTGGACGCGATGCGTTCCTCGTCCGAGCCCACCACGACCAGCAGCTCGGCTGCCAAGGCTGACCCGTCGGCCACAGGAGCACAACAACAACAGCCACTCTTCCCTCTGCGCATCACACTGCCTCCCCTGTCGACCGCCGGCTGGCTGACCATCGTCGCCGTGCTCGTCATCTACGGGTTGGTCGTCATGCAGCCCGTGCAGATGGAGCCCGCACAGCCACCCCTCTTCTCGTACGCCCGCTTCAGAGGGCGGCTGCTGCAGGGCGGCTTCCAGGAATCGACGTCACCCGAGAAACAGGCGTGTCAGACAGACATCGAGGAGTCGTTCAGCAACAACATGATATGGGGCGACCCCTGTCTGGCGCCCAACGCCACATTGGTCGAGAACCTGCCCTTCGCACCGCCGTCCTGCAGCGACAAGCTCAAGCCATTCGAGTACGGCGGCTTCGTGCCGCCAACCACCGCCCCCCTGCTGTTTGCAGGGCCCACCCAGCAGTCGCTCGCAAGATGGCTGTGTGACGGCCTGCAGGCCACCCAGGCAGGACTGAGAGGGGTGGAGGAGTGCAAGGACGGCGGTCGGCTGAGAGCGCGCCTCGAGGCGGCTTTAGCCAGTGGGGAGAGTGAGGTGGGCATCCTGGAGGGTGAGGGTCCGAGCATCGAGATAGTCACGGACAGTGTCGGGGCGTGTGAGTGCCGCGTGCCAGTGCTGCTGCCTGCCGGGGCCAAGTGCGAGGACTTCAGATACCCCTACCTGGGGTGGAGAATCATCGACTAGATATAGATGAGTGGAGGCGAATGCGGCTTGGCGTCATTCATGATGCGATGCATCATCCATCCATCCATCCATGGCATCGCATCAAGGGTGGCTGGCTGGCCGCCTGCCTGCCTGCGTAGCATAGTTTTGTGGGTGCGTATGTGTACATATGACCGGCTGTATGTATACTATTTGTGTGAGCACGGGAGGGAGGGAACACGGGAGGGAGGGAGGGAGGGAGGGAGGGAACACATGTATGTATGTATGGATGCATCATTCATTTTGTGTGAGATGCACTGCATACGTCCTCATCTCATGCCTAGCGGCACGGCACCTTTGTACGTGCGTATGTGTGTGGTTTGATGTCTATCTATCTATTTTGTCAAGAGTGCAATCAATGCATAGCAGCTCTGCGTGCGTGTGTCTGTCGATATGTACCCGCCTAGCCTACGACAATTCACTTTCTGTCTGCGTGCATTCACGTTTGCGTGCTCGCATCATTTGTGTGAAGACGTGACGCATGACATGCGACGGATGAGTATTCCACCACACACACACACACCCCACACTCAGCAACAAATGTGTCTTATCGAACACCAAAAACCGTCACATTTAGCACGTAGCAACAGACACATCGACATCGCCCCACACCACACAGCGCCCCCCAACCAGCCACCCTCACTAACAATGCACATACACTAACTAACCCCGCAGCACATCAATCAGCTCTGTGAAGTCCGTCACGAACCAATCTGCCCCCTCCTTGACGGCCTTGCGCACCGACACACCCCCATACCCGATGAACACACTCGCAGGCGGCCGCGCCTGCAGGTCGGTCGCGCCGTCGCCCACCATGACAACATTCAGGCCTTTGCCGCTCCCTTTGTTGGCCGTGTTGTGTGCCGATGTGTTGTTTCCCTGAATGATGGCCGCCACAGCCTCGGCCTTGCCGCCGTCGCGAGAGGTCGGTGCAGAACGGTCAAACCTACACACACAGACACACGATGCACACAGACACGCGTCCTTGCATTCACTGACACACCGAGTTGGCCTTCGCCCCGGTTTGCCCACCCTGCGTAGTTGCCATGAGTGTCGAAGTAGAGCTCATTTGCGTAGATGTTGGTGCGGGGGATCTTGAGAGCGTCTGCGAGCGGCTCCAGCAGGAACCGGAAGCCGCCCGACACCAGATAGACCGCCGTGCCGCGACGCTGTAGCAGGGATACCACCTGCTCAATGCCTGATTTGCCACGGCATGCCATTCACACACATGAGTGACTAACATGCATGTGTGAATCAGCCACACGTGCGTACCTGACGAGAGTTTGATGTCGTGTGTGTTGATGAATCCCTCCACATCCGCCCTGGTCGGCTGCATGAGCTGCAGCCGCCGCTCCAGCGCGTCCTCGTACTTCATCCCGCCCTCCATGGCCTCGCGCGTCAAGGCAGCCACGCCCTCGCTCTTGTCCAGGTAGGTCGCGAACTCATCTATCGCCTCGTACGTCAGCACCGTCGAGTCCACATCGAAACATACGATGTCCGCATCCCTCAGCGCCGACTTGGCCGAGTCGATGCGACAGGGAGCTGCCGAACGGTGGCTGGCGCACAGTGCGCCGGCAGATTGCTCGTCTGGTGGGCAGGAGGATGTAGCAGTGGCAAGAGCTGCACTCATGTGACGAGCGGTGGTGGAAGCGGCACTCAGGAGGCGGCGAGATCTGGCAAGAGAGGCTGAAGCGAGGATGAGAATGAAGACGACGATGCGCAGTAAGGCACGACGCCTCACGGCCATACACCTTCGCCGCGTGATGGCGGTGAGTGTTCTGATCTTCGGCAGATCTATGGGGGCGTCGCGTCTCACCAGGGCGATCGCATGCAGTCTCACCTCCACCTCGGCCCCCAGCGTGTTCCTCGGATGCCGGTTCTCTATCAGCTGCCGCTGCTGCTGTTGTTGTTGTTGTTGCTATGGCCCAGTGGGAGATTGGCGGAGAGAGTCAGCCAAACCGAGTCAGCCACCGATCTTCAAGTCGGCTGGGGCAAAGTGAGGATCGTTTCCGACGTACATGTGGTAAGCGGCAGGTGCGAAGCCGTGCGAAGGAATGACTGTGTATCTGTGTCCGTGACACTGTCTCAACGACACACTCCGACAGGGCAATTGCCGGATGTCTGACGAGTGCTTGCACAAGCTGAAATCGTTTCTTCGAGCCACCGTGACTCCGGGCAACCCTTACAGTGCCAATGTGAAGGCACTTGTACTCCTGTAAGCTGTGTGTGGGTGTATGTTCGATAAAGGAGAAAACGCCACGTCATGCGTGGCTCGTTGGTATGTGCAGCGGGGACATATTCGAGACATGGTCTTACAGAGAAAGGGATGTCGACATAATCATGTACTACGTGCGTACTATGTAGGGCGGTTCCATGCATTTGGCCGACATGACTCTCGACCACCTGGAAAGAATAGCTCATAAGAACATTGATGTAAGCCGCACATGACTTTGAGACGCCATCTGTGGCTACTCCACTCCACATATGTTTCCGCGTGTATCTCAGACGACTCTTGGGCATATTCTTCGTCCCAAGGTCCCAGAGATTCTTCGCTTCATAGAAGAGATCGCACAAAAGATTTCTACCTATATCATTCGAGTAAGAACACAGTTAGCTGTGAGGAAGTGAGAGAAAGCGAAAACTCTGTGTCTGAGCAGGGGAATCACGATTACGAGACGTAAGCCAGAGGAAGACTGATTGTCTGACGGCTCCTTTGCGCTTGTCCTCAGTTTGACGAGGGATTTTGTCAAGAAACACATGCCCTCTGTCCACTACAGAAAAGGTGTGAGGCTGAATGAGTGCACACCGACTATCTCATAGGCATGTGCATCCATCAGATGTCCTTGTGGATTGGCGCCTCGTCCGCTTAGAGCACGGCCAGTTTGAGGATCTTCTTAACAGACCCGGCCCTCTCTCGGACTACACGAACAAAACAAAGAGCAGTGGTGTGAGAGAAGTGGTTAGCCAGCTTCCTGTGGGGTTCTCTCAGCGCCCATCCGCCGCGTACTGGCTGGCGAGAGCGGATGCCACTCGATGTGAGCTGGAGAGGTTTCACAAGGTGTACAACCCGTCTTCGAACGCCGTGCGCGAGACGACGGAGTTGGTGACCTCGATCACTGAATATATCCTGGGGAAACACTTCAAGGCAAGTGAACGATTGACGTACTTTGTGTTGTATGGATTCATTTAATTCTTGGTGTTTGTAATGTCATTCTCTATTCAGAAAGCCTACATGACAATGTTCCAGGAGCGATTGCAGGCTGTCACCGAGAATGGCGCACCGGGCCAGGACCTGGTCAAGATTCTCAACAACGACGTCCGCGAGGATCAATTCCACCTTCGGAAGGGCACAATTACAATTAAAACGGTGGGCGCGCCTACCGGAGAGGGGCAGGAACGTCTCGTCTGTGTGTGTGTGTGTTTTTCTTTGCGGCCCCAGGTGGTGAGGGAGTATGGTGATCTTCCCAAAGTCATGAAGAGGGAGCTCTAGTTGTCAAAGAGGGAATCAAAGGCGCTGATCAGGTGATCAGGTGAAGGCATGAGGTACACGACTGGCATCAAGTATTGATTCTTGTTGTGGCTGTAGGAGAGGTCTCGACGCCATGGGAGTGAGACACGAAAGTTGTGCATGTGAAAGTTATACTATTCGTGTTGGTTTCCGTGTGTGGACAGGACTACGACTACTTCATCGTAAAACAACAAGACACCACAGACACAGACGTGGTCCACGCCAAACACGCTAGAGAAAGAGAGGGTCAATGAGATGTATCAAACATCCGACAGATGTGGGTGTGTAGATGGTTTTCGGCCACACGCACATTGCCAAGCTCCAACGACAGCAGTCTAGCTTGGACAACTGGCTCATCTACGCGAATTCAGGCGGTACGGATGCACACAATGAGATTTAGATAGAAAGAATCAGAAGAGACGACCGGCATGTGTCTGCCAGGCTGGGTCGACCCAATCGATGGCGACAAGGTCTTCGTCGACATCAGGTGACGTATGGAAAAGAAACGCGGAGGAGGAGGAGAAGAAGAAGAATAATTTCTCCCTCTTCCTCAATGTGTGTGTGTCTCTCTGTTTGTCTCTTCGTGTCACCCTCCATCTTCATCTGATCTGCAGCATGATCGATCTGCCCCTGTACGACAAATTCTTCCAAGACACCTTCCCCAATCTCCGCACCGACCGCGCATGCAAGAGTGGCGTGCCCAAGCTCCAGCCCCAGCCTGAGACATGCGAAACGCCCTCCTGGACACCGCTCCGTGACGCTCTCCCTATCCGTGTGGACGTCTACAAATGGGCGAGCGACCCAGATGGGACCCTCACACGAGTGGAGGGGCTGGACCTCCCAGACTGAGGCGTGACGCAGACGATGCGCGATTTGGTGAGAAACTACGGCCTGGCTGAGGCAGCGGACACCAAAGAGAGAGAGACACTGATCAAGCGGGTTGAGGAGACCCTGGATGCCATCCACACGGCTGCAGGCGGCCTGAGTGAGGGTGAGGCGGATGTGGTGTGGCGAGAGGAAGAAGTGGAAGAGATAGTGCCCCATTGGCCGTCATTCTGAGCCAATGGGGCACTATCTCGACGTGCGAGTGAGTGGGTGACAGAGCAGAAAGAAAATGCATGTGAGTGAATGGATGCGGGTGCCGTGAGACAGGCAGGCAGGCAGACAGACTGAATCAGCGCGAGACATTCCACATCATTTCCTTTGAGAGGTATGCGTGTCTGTCTGTCTGTATCCCTATCTATTGACAAACAAACCAACGAACTACCCGGCCCAGTCCGTCTGAATTATCTGTCAGCCCATGAACCGCATCGCATCGCATCGCATCGCATCTGTCGGCTCGCATTGCCGCAATCGCATCCAATTAACTAATCGGTCTATCTGTCTATCTCATCAGTCCTCCTCTTCCATGGCTTCCTCGATGAGCTCCACGATGATGCTGCCCAGCCCGCCCTTTCCCTCGCCCCCCTCCAGCATACGCGCCACCTGCTGCCCATACGCCTCTATCGCGCCCTCCACCACGCCCCTGCCCGATGCCACAAACACACCTGTAAGGACACATCAGCCAGCCAGGAAGCAACAGAGAGGAGAGAGTGATCGATTGATTCGATTCATGCATCCATTCATTCAGACTGCGGCGACAAGGCCGACGTACCTGCCAGTCTGCGTGTGAATGCCGTCCACAAAGGCGCCCCCCTCATCTGCTCGTCGCCCAGCCCCCCCAGCCGCCCCGCCAGCCACGACGTCGCCATGGACCCGATAGACGATTCCGTCACGTTGGGCGCGGACAGGAACTCCTCGGCCTGGTCGATGGTGAAGCCCATAAAGGACGAGAGGCTGTTTTCAAATGACGGCCACTCAGCGTCGTCGGCCAGCGATGCCGCCATGCCGTGGACGGCCTTGAGAACCGATCCCTTGGCCGTGTACAGCGCCGAGACAATTGACGGCGGGGCGGGGGGGTCTCGAGCAGCAAAGGCTGATATCCCTCTCGCGCCATCTCGCAGCAGCGACCGCCGTTGCGAGATGAGCATGAGGGCCGTCGAGGCTGCATTGGTCGCCATGACGTCTCTGGTCTCCTGCTGGATGCGAGGCACGATGAACGAGGTGAGCAGGGGGCCCACAGAGGCCGGGGCGAGCGTGTCGACCAGACTCTGCATGATCCGCCGGACCCCCCCGTCGGTCACGTCGGTCACGAGGCGCATGAAGGTGCCCCATCCCTTGTTGCGCTTGAGGCAGTCACGCGCCAGCCGGTCTATGACCGTATTCACCATTGACACACCCGTAGCCATCATGCCCTTCTGCACATTACCACTGCCGGTCAGGGACTCCACGGCGGCCGACTGGACGAAGCTGCCGAGGTTGTTGGTGAATGACGGCCAGAAGGGCATCTTGTCCATGCCCATCTGCTGGCCCACACTCTGCACCATGCCACTCGCCAGGCGGTCGATGACGCGCCCGTTGCCGCTTTCCATCAGGCCGGCAGCCCGGCCCAGGAAGAGACCCATGAGTGAGTCGCCTTTGCCCTGGGCGGTCCATCTGTTGGCGAGGTGGTCGAGCATCTTGTTGAGTGGCGTCTGGGTGCCGGTAGGCGGCCGTGCGTGTGGCGCGCCAGTAGGAGTGGGTGGGAGGGTGGGGAAGGGCAATGGCGTGGAGGTGGTGGCTGGCACGGCGGGGGAATGGGGGGCTGACGAATCAACAGACACAGAGCAACAGAGGGAGAGAAAGAGGGTTACGATCGTGTGGTATGTGATGTATGTTGTGGCTGGCTGCCTGGCTGGCTGGCTGGCTGACCTTGCCCTCCTCCAGAAAGGGCCGCCTCGGCCTCCTTCCTGCATTGGCTCTCACTCTTGCCGTTCCGCGCCAACACCTGCGATGAAAAACACCCTGGACACACACAAACCGACACAACACAAAACACAAGACAACACAACACAACACAACACACATCATCATCCAAGGGCATTTCATTCCCTCCCACCGACCCCATCCATCTCTCTCCCTCCCTCCTCTCTAACCCTGCATATTCGGCGTGCCGCAGCGTGTCCCATCGCCGACATATCGGCACACATACAGCCTCTTGCCGACATTGACGCCACACCCCAACTTGGCGGCGCCCTTCCACACCATGGCCGTGAAGTGGCCCGTCGACCCGCTAAACCCGCGGCCCGGCCGCCACATCCTCACCTCGCTGTACCAATCACGCGTGGCCGATGCGGCGCTCTGGTGGCCGAGAGCGAGGTTCTCACCTGCAGGCACCACACAGATAGGTGAGAGAGTGGGGGAGGGGGGCAGGTGTGGTGTGTACCTGCCGGTCCTGCGCATGGTTTGAGGCTGTATGAGGATGAGTGCTGGAACTGCCCTCTGTTGGCGTGTTCCTGGGCTGACGCTGCCACACACGTGTCGTACTGCAGGAAAGGGGCGCTGTGCATACACCGATACGTGTTGTGAGCCTGAACCAACACACACAGAGAGAAGGAGAAGATGGCGCGTCCACGGACTCTCTCTCCCACCCTCCCTGGCCACCCACCCTCCCACACCACCCACCAGCAGGAACTCCTTGGCTGTGGCGTCTATCTGAGTTTCCTGGCCACTCGTCGTTGAGCTTCTCGAGTTTGTGAGAAAGGCGGCATGGTTATAGTTCTGCTGTCGGGGCCATGGCGAGTAGTAGCTGCTGCCGCTGCCGCTGTAGTAGGGCAGCTGCAGCCGGGGCAGCTGCGCCATTGCGGCGGCAGCCAGGGAGGAGAGGATGATGATGGGGAGGATGGCCATCAGCTAGTGACACGAGTGGATGAAACGGATCGAGGGAGGGGAGATCTACGGGACTATGGGGATGGAATCGTTGTGGAGCGCTTGGGAGCGTTGAAATTGATGTGCGTCTGCTGCGCGTCAACCCCGTTTTTCACGCGCCCTAAGCCGCATCTGCGAGCTTAGACTTGCCATCATTCAAGCAACGAATCCTCCCCGCAGCAGCAGTGAGTCTTTTGGTCGTGAGCAGATGAGGTGCAGATCAACAATGAGTCAGATGCCGAGTGAGTGTGGATCTGACGAAGATGCAGTGGGGAGGAAACGGCGCAGGAGGCGGACAGATGACGGCAGATCAACACGGGCCAGGTAAGAAAGAAGAGCGGAAGACTGTCACTGATCTGCTCATCTTTCTCCCAATTGATTCAGGTCTGTGTGTGATGCCATGCATCTTTGCCCCCGCCCCTTTGTGCTGCTGCTCATGGCCCTGCAGCTGCAGCTGCTCCATGCGTCGTCATGGGCGTTCCTTTCCACCCCCTCCCCCTCCCCCTCCCCCTCCCCTCCATCTTGCATCGACGTCAGACAGCCGTGCCCATCAAGGCCAAGGCGGCGGCTCTTCATGGCCGCCCATCGTGACGTCAAAGCGAGTGGTGCTGGTGGTGGTGTGGTCATGAAGACGCCATCGAAGGAGCGGATTGACACGAGCAACGTGACGGCACTGAGGGAGATACCCAGGACCACTGCCCGGGGTGAGTGAGATAGACATGGCCATGGAAGGAAGCGTGTGATGGAGAAGATGCACATACATGCGATGAATGTGTGTGTGTGGCGTGCTTCGTTGCAGGCGACGGTCGGCTAATATGGTGTGATGAGGACATCGGCTTGATGCGTTTGCGTGAGGGCCGCAGGAGCGACATCAGGCGGGTGGCGGACTTGATAGTGGATGAGTTCCAGGGGCCCTTCAGCTGGCTGCAGCTCCTTGCAGGCCGAAGGGTGAGCCCCCCCCCCCCCCCCCCCCCCCCCACACACACACA